AATTGGCTAGAGAAACTTAGAATGGCACATGTAACATATTGTGTGAATATGGACACAATTGGGCCTACTTGACCCCTCAAGTCTCGGGCTACCAAAGCCCCCAGGCCTCGTGGCATAAAAGCAACACCGGGAAACGATTCTCCAGGTTTTGAAACCCCCCCAAACCAAATTTCGTGACAATCGGAGCAAATTTATTTTTCCAAAAAATTTTAAATTTTCCAAAATTTTGATTTTCGAAAATCGTAAATGGGTTAGGATTTTAATGAAACTAGCACCAGTCATGTATTTCATTGTAAATTTAACAAATTCCAAGAAAAAATTCTTATAGTGAAAGAAATGTCGGGGCTAGAGGCCCCAATGTGTGAGTTAGGGTGCTAAAATTGGGGCTAACTTGTGTTATGGCACAGTGGCCTTAATAAAAATAATAATTAAATAAAATTTGCACCATTTGTGACTTTCGAAATGCTCTTTCGGAATATAGTAGCTACATATTTTTAGAAATTTTCGTTATGGAATCATAGGCCTAAATGTCGGGTCAAATTTTGAAATTTTCCAAAATTTTACTTTACCAGAATTGAAATTGGTCTAGTATTTTAATGAAACTCGCACCAGTCATGTATTATAATGCAAGTTTAACAAATTTCAAGCAAAAATTCTCATATTGCAAGAAATGACGGGGTTAGAGGCCCTAATGTGTGAGTCAAGGTGCTAAAATGTACAGTCACAAGACTTGACTCAATTACAGCTTTTTGAATTTACAGGTAAGAAAAAATTATTTGGGCCAATTACCGCCAAGTTATAGCCCGATTTGTAAAAATTGAGGGCTAACTCTTATAAATCAAGTCACCATTGACTGATCTTATTGAAATTCGGTAGAACGACTTAGAATGGCACATGTAACATATTGTGTAAATATGGACACAATTGGGCCCATTTGACCCCTCAAGTCTCGGGCTACCAAAGCCCCCCGGCCTCATGGCGTAAAACCAACACCGGGAAACGATTCTCCAGGTTTCAAAACCCCCCCAAACCAAATTTCGTGTCAATCGGGGAAAATTTATTTTTCCAAAAAAACTTAAATTTTCCAAAATTTTGATTTTCAAAAATCGTAATTGGGCTAGTATTTTAATGAAACTTGCACCAGTCATGTGTTTCATTGTAAATTTAACAAATTTCAAGAAAAAAATCTTATAGCGCAAGAAATGTCGGGGCTAGAGGCCCCAAGGTGTGATTTAGGGTGCTAAAATTGGGGCTAACTTGTTCTATGCCACATTGGACTTAATAAAAGTGATAATAAAACGAAATTTGCGTCATTTGTGACTTTCAAAGTGCTCTTTCGGAATATAGTGACCAAAATTTTTTACCATTTTTTGGGCCTAAATGCCAAGTTGCCCCCAAATTTTTGTGACAATAAAATTCAACTGCTTCTCTAGAACTTTCGAATAATAAAATTAAGTATCGTGTCAATTATTCATTATTTTTCTGATAAGTAATCAGTGTTTTATTTTCTTAATAATTCAGCAAACTCGTTACAAAAAATTATCTCAACAAAATATTTAATTTTTTTTCTATTTATAACCGCCCCCTGTGCCTATTTATACGCAAACTCGTCGATGATTTAAACGATTTATATTTAGTCGAAGAAAAAATCGCTTCAAACATCACTATACCGGAAAAAGCAACAAAAATGGGCTGAAGGTGCACGAGATAAAAGCCGAGTCAAGAAACACATAAATAAGATTACGACCAATTAAAATCTTTCATAAAAAGACTGAGAGGTCGTAGTCCAAGAACCTGTCCATAGAAGAGAACTGCCGGTAGATAAGACACCCTCAGGGTCTTAGGTTATCACCACTGAGGAGGATTGACGTCACGATTGAGTTTAAATAGGCTTCTCATTAACTCGAACGAACAAAAAATCAAACAAAATTGACAAAAGCAATAAAAAAGAAAATTAAAATTAAAAAAAATTATTTGTCTAATGTCCATTTCAAATCAACAGAATGCAGAATTCTGATTATTTAAAAATATTTCTTTTCACTATTGCCAAATGACGATTTTAAAAAAAAATTCCCATGGTCATGTGACAAATGTCAATGTCGCTAAATGTGAAAACTTTTTATATTAATAAGGATATCTAAGTATTATTCAAATATTTTATTTCATTGTTGTCAAATGTCAATTTAAAAAAAAAATTCTTTAGTCACGTGGCAAATGTCAATGTCTCAAAATGTATGTAAACAAAATTTTATAT